CCTGCTGATGAAGAGCAGAGTACATGTGCATTATGTGGAGAGCCTTTTGATGACTTCTACAGTGATGAAACTGAGGAATGGATGTATAGAGGAGCTGTCTACCTGAATTCATCTAACGGATCAACAGCAGGCATGGATAGATCTCAGTTAGGTCCTATAGTACATGCTAAATGCAGATCCGATTCTAGCGTGGTTCCCCCTGAAGATTTTGGACATGATGAAGGGGTATGCATTTCTATTTCTATCTCATGCTTTTAGCTTCTTTTGGTCAGAGCATAATTTATCTTTTATGTTTCTACTTGAAGTGTTGTTATCTATTGGTGTATTTTTCAATAAAAGTGCTAATTGAAACACCAAAAACTTAAATCAGTTGCACGCTCATGCCACCTTCATCCAAGATGTGGATGTATACATTTTGTTGGAAAAATTAATGTCTTGAGCTTGCAGCCAAATTGAATCATGGCTATACAAGTGACTTTGGTGGAATGTTGGTTTTGTATTAAACTACCTCCTTTTTTTTTCTTTTTTATCTTTTCCGTGTTCTTGCAAACATGATATATATATATATATATATATGTATGTATATATATATGTATGTATGTATGTATGTATGTATGCATGCATGCATGCATGTATTCTGCTGGATTGGGGTCTGTATAGTTTGTATTCTGTTAAAAACTTATGAAAGCATGCTAGCTTGTATATAAGTTGAAAGTTCAGTTGACTAAATATATTATCCATGTTCCTTTACTTCCTTGCTCTTCAGTTTCTTTTGATTTTCCAACTAGCTCGATTTATTTCTGATTTATCAGCTGCAGGTAAATTCTGAAGAGGGTAATCAAAGAAAACGAATGCGGAGTTAACCTTTATTAGATCGACTTCCAAATCTCATGTAACTTTGAGTTTCATCATGTTAGTGGTATGCGCTTACTTGTTTTTATAGTTGTGTTGGAGCTTGCAATGCATTGGCTCTTAGCCCAAATCATGTAAATATTACTTGGGCTTGTACCATGCATAATATCTTTGAAAAAAAGATTAAAAATTATGTCTTTCTAACATCCAGAAAGATACCATCTTTTTAATATGCTAAAAAGAAATATTTTTATTAGATTTGCTGCTGGGTGCTTATAATGCTGAAAAGAATGTGAAGTGGAATGGACGAATGGTAGCCTTCTATTCCGAGGACACCCAGTAGAATCTACTGTAATTATTAGACTGCTGGGTTGTCTACTCTTTGCAGATTGTTTTGATTTTCTGCAGGGACTGCAAACATCTCCAGTTACTCACATTCAGTTTATTATTCTCTTCAAGGCTGCCAAGTCGCATAATAAGCTTAGTTCCTCCCAAATTGATGGATTGGTGGCAGCAAAAGCACTCTTTGCCTTTTCCTGGTGTTGATTATCTGTATTTGTTGAATTACATCATTTCTATTTGAAGTTGAGTACTCATGCTACTATCTTAAAATATCCTTTCTGGATGGTTTTTCTGGAATGATGCCATAAGGAATTTGCTTGATAGCTGATTTTATGCGTTATTCACTAGTTTGGGATGGATCTTTTCAGATCACCTCTGGACTCTGCTTATCAACTTCAATTCTTTCTGTGGTAGGATTTTTATTTTTTTATCTTTTCTAAATAATATTATATATATATGAGTTTTTTTCTTGTGTCATGGCTATTTTTTTGCAGGTCATAGTGTTTGGTGTATTAATTGGACACAAATAAATTTTGCTTAGAAAAATATGTAACAGATATTCAAGACGTTGTCTGATGGGATATGAATTGCAGATACTCGCCCTTGAATATTCTTACTGCCCTTGTTTAAACAGGGGTGGCCCTTTTTTTTTAGGTTTATATTTTTTATTTTTCATGAAAGATTTGATTTCATCTTATTATTTATGCAAAAAATCACTCCATATTATTGAATATAAGTCATGTCATCTCTTTTACCACATTTTGATCAATATCAGTTCTTTTATTTAAACTTCTGGGATGCACTGATATTTTATTTTTTTCCCCGTCTATATGACAAAGCTTTATTAGTATGACCAATTTACGTTCGTTGACTAACCATTGACTAATAGGATGATAACATGTCAAATTTTAATAATTATTTTTAAAAATCAGTCAATGTTTTTAATAAAATACAAAAGAAAAGGCTAAAATAATTAATCTCGCATGCTTTTTTTATTAATTACTTGTAATAAAACTTCGATTGCCCCCAATGACAACGAATGTAAGTATCCTAAATGCCTCAATTCGATTTCTTCTAACCCTTTTCTTTAATATAAATAATTTATTAACGTAAAGAAACAATTTAAAATTCAACCACTTAGAGCAAAAGTTGAATTAATCTCTATGGGTTGGTAAAATAATAATAATCAACAATTTCTCTTCCGGGAAAAATCAACCATGGCTGGCTGGCCACTGCTTGTAGAACAATGATATATGTAATGAGCACAAAATAATGCCTGCCTTTTCGTCTTTTTCAGCTTTCCCCTTTGCACATAGAACAATGAATGATATCATGAACACAATAATTTCGCCTTTAACCAGCAGTGCTTTCCTTTTATTAGCGTTTGTACAATCATTTGTCTAAGACGTTGTCTGTCTTTGCATTCGATTTTGTGGTAGTGAATTGCTTTGTTGTGAACAAATTTGGATCTCATGCTCAAGTAGTCACTCCACTTTTGCCACAAGATGAAGGGAGGCAACGACTCATGATTCAACAATCTCTGTAGAATTTAGCATAAGAAATGGTTTTTGCTTTTTGGGTTTTCTTTGTGTAGTGGCTAAGTCTTTTTTTTTTTTTTTATAGCTTTTGATACGAATTCATGGAAAAATACTCTATCTCACTCTGTATTTTATCTAATATAAATTACTTTATCTATATATATAAATTAAATCATATATACTAATTAATGTATCATATTTCTTATTTCCATTTCTCTGAATAGATTATATCATATTAATTTTTACATGATTAAATGATAAAGTAGGAGGGGGCATTAATTAGCAGGAGATTGGTTTCTTGTTCATGGTAGTTATGTCCCCATCACAACGGAAGAGCCCTGGTGGGTGTAATTAGCTAAATGAGTAGGTGTGAATGCATGTTTTCTGACCAGAAAGAAACAAGGAATATTAAGTTCAATAAATTAATGTATATGTTCATTAACGTTGTCGTTGTCGTTGTCGTTATTAAATAATTATTATCACATCCAATTTATTAGATGGCGTTAACTCCAAGATAAAACCTGTGATTGCCTAACTATGAGAATTATACAAGGTCAAAGGTTTGCTTTCTAGCTATATGAATACTACTATATTATTTATTTACGCTATACTATAGTTTAAAATTGGTTTCATCGACTTGGTAAATTTAAAAATAATTCAAATAATTCTTAATTAAAAATCAAAATCACGCTGTTTTCACATTTTGCATGGCAATTTTTCCTACCATGCATGGTTACAAGTTTGTCTTCGTGTGACAAACTTTTCAAGACAGCCATTTGCATTATATCCAGATGACATTGATGTGGAAATTTGATGTATGTTTTGGCAGAGAAAATAAATGATGTAGAGAGTCACAAAGAGCTCCTAGCTACGGGTCACTAAATGCTGTTGAGTGTGAATATATTATAAATATTTATATCGATTGTTCTGCGAATTAATTAATGTGTTTGTACAATTTGTTTGGAACAATTAATGATCGATGTAATAAAATCGTTTTTGTTTTGTTTAATTTCATCAAATTATGTTGCTCTAAATTCAGCAAATGGCATTCAAGCCACATCAGACTTGACAAATGATAGCAGAACTGCCATAAACTCAGCACTAACATTACTCAACCAAAATTAATTATGTTTGATAGAAAACTTGATGTGTTTCAATTTATGAATCAGCAACTTGATCTTTTGATATGGAACATAAAATTCAAGTCCCACTTGTTTAAACTTGAAAAAAACCAAATTACATCTCCAACTCATGAACGAATCTAATGTCTTGATGTCGAGCTCACCCTACTTCATCCTAGCTGACCAAATCTAGTTAGATAACTTTATTTTCTAAACCAAATTACATCTCCAACTCATGAACAAATCTAATGTCTTGATGTCGAGTTCACCCTACTTCATCCTAGCTTACCAAATCTAGTTAGATAACTTAATTTTTTTTTATTGAATTTAATTAATTTTATAACTTGTTATTAAAAATTAATTTAATTCAAAAATTTAAATTATTAAATGAGAACTCAAAATATAATTTATATTATTTTTTAACATATTCCTTAAACTTAATTTCTCTAATTTATTTATTTATTATTAAATAAATAAATATGATAAGATTTGAACTGTTTGATTATCAAGATATTAATAAAATATTAAAAAATCAATTCAATTTAAAGATTTTAAATTTTAATATATAATTTATATTATTTTTTAAATTTAAATTTAGTATTCTACCTGTTGTCTTTCAAACTTCTTGGATCTCCCCGACAGCTAGACCTTGTTTCTGCATCCCGCGGAAAGATTGCATCAATCTTGTCACTTACTAATTGATATTTAGTGAGCTACGTGCTGTCTTTCAAATTTCTTCTATCTCCCCGACAATGCTCATAAAATTCTTTAGCTGGACCGTGTTTCTTCGACAAAATTATTGGTCTCTGAAATCTACAACAATATAGTTTCAATGGAAGTACTGTAGCAGATGCAATTATTGTTTTTGGCAATTCAATATTGTGGTGCCACTCATGTTCTCTTTGATTTTGCTTTGTTTTAGGGCCGATCAAATCTATAGGTCTCAAAAAGATATGAAATCATCAAAATGTTTATTCTCATATCTGCAAATAGTGTTCTTCATCAATAGTGTCTCTGCCATGCTTTTTGGAAGAGAATTAAATTTAGTAGGTAGCCCATTTATTTGTATCTTCAATAACCCTTTTTATTGATTAATTTCTCGAGGAATATAATGGGATTAGAGAGTTCGTATAAAACCGTTCTTAGGATCTTACCACACCACTTAAGCTTTTGAATTGAGAATTCTCCTCGAGTTGGCAATATTGTATTGCTTAAGTTCCCAAGAGGTTCTTCCAATAGTACAATTGCTAGTGCCTAGCTCCCATCATATATTAATGTCAAATTAAGGGCTAATGAAAAGTTCCTTTGGCCGCTTTTATCTCTTATGCTAAGAACTCATAGTTGATGCATACCCTTTTTTTTTTTTTTTTCTGTCTAGAGTTTGAGATTGAACTTGAGATTTGATTGTTTTAATGAGCTCGAACAAGTTAGAAGCCACCCAATCCAATCATTGGTGTCTTCGATCCTTCCTCCTTGATAATGAGAAAGAAGAAACTAAGGGGACCGATTCCAATTATCAAAACTGAGGCTGTCATTTTCCTGTCAGTGATCGATAAGTAGCAGTCTCAAACAGAAAGGAACAACTATTCAATAACAAGCTACTGACAAAGTTCAACACAAAATGAAACTAATGTCTGTTAAATGAGTAGGGAAGCTCCTTAATAACAGGTACGCAAAAGGAGCAGATCACTAGACAAATACAAAGTAACTCACACCTAGAGGAACGCTAGCCCTAGTCAACACTACAAGATAAAGCAAAAGATGAAAGCGAAATTTGGTAACATTTGTAACAGGTTCTGACTTCATTTTCATCTTTGTCAGGCAAAGTCAATACCCGAACCTACACCCTTGCAGAGTGGTGAAATGCCCTTTTACCAATAGCTAGCTACTCTGCGTTGACAAACACCACCAAGCAAGGATCATCTTAGGTGCGTTCTTGACTTAAATATGGTTGAAAGCATACTTCATTTGTCTTGCTTCCTCTCCTCTTCCTAACTGCAACAACACTCATGATTGAGCACAAAAATGTTAGTTCTTCTGTAATTTTTGCTACTTGTTATGAAATAATTTCGCAAAAATATAGTAACCAGAAGTTCCTAACATTATGTGAGGCTTTTCAATCAGGCGTTGTCACACATTACTGCAGCCTTAATCCTTTCAACTGTGCACTTAATTAGACTGTTTACAGTTGCTACTGATCCGAGCGAAAGTTTTGCTGTTGGGACTGAATCAACTAATATCTGAAATGCAACGGTCAGTAGAGAGCCACCGGACGCAACATCAAGAATTCCTGCAGGGCCATATCCTGGTCCATCAGGGAGTATCGCAAAACCTGATGGAAGCAGTGCAACATAATCTGGGTCTCCACCGCTTAGGACTATGTTCATGGCCGAAATGTCCACTGGCGCATAAATCACATATGAGCCTGTAGAATCAGTGCAGCTCTCTTGCAATATCAGCATGTTGCTCTGGCTTGAATTTGCGCTCTGCAATTTATATGGTTGATTTCAGTGATGATATGGTTCTGAAATAAGATACGTGAACAGGAAAGACTTGCTAGCACGCACACAAAATCATGTTTCGGAAACTTACATTGACACGGAGTAAAGAGACGCAATTTCCAGGATCACGTCCATTAGCTATATGAGCCATTTCTTGAACTTCGCCGCCGTTCGAAAGGATATCCCACTGTATGCAAAGACAAAATGTTTACTTATTTGAAGAGCTTAAAACCTTGAGTTCTTTCAAGAAATTAGGCTTGAAAGCTACATGATTTCATGTACCTCACTTCGATGATTCTCATCCCTAAGGAAATCAAACATCCTCTTGGATTGAACTGGAATCCAGAAGGAAGTGGCAGCACTAAGTACAATTCCAGGTGGTCTGCCTGGATCATCCATACTCTTTCTGGTCATTACTCTCACATCATCAGAACCAGTTGCGGACAATGTCGTCCATGCATGTGCAGTAGAAGCACCAACTCCAGTGCAAAAACTCATCACCATTCTCTCGGCCAGCTTCAGCATACTTTTCCTCCCTTCAGCGGTTGTTATCACTATCCAGAAGAATAATGATTGATCAAGATATTTTGTCATGTGGAAGAAATCCAAATGACTAAACTTTTTAACCTCTAAGAAACTAAAGAAAAAAAAATCAAAATACATTACCACAGAGATCTCCAGTTGGGATGTTAATGGCCATCGAGCTTGCAAGACGTTCGCATTGTCGATCTAGTGTTCCCACCCAACGTTTTGCTCCAAAAGCAAGACCAGAGTTGACTAGTGGTCTGTATATATTTTGAACAGATCTATCATCCACTTCGATGTGTTCAACCCAGACGACCTGCAGAATCATGATACCAGGGTTATATGATGATTTTAACAAAACGTTTTGAAGGTTTCCCCATTTGGTAATGAAAGTGAGGCCTTGAGAGTGATCATATTCAAGTAAGAGTTACTACCTTTGAATAACCATTTGGCAATTCTTGGATCAAGCAACCTGATGGCCTTCTTCTACATTTCGACAGCAGACTAGGGCGTAAACTGTCCAAGGAAACATCTACCACTGCCCAAGTCCCATCGGTATGCTGTTTGCAGTACCTCACAAAGTAATTTTCTCTTGTAGGAACAACTGGGGAAGGTACTTGAAACTCAGCTGTCATCTGTGACAAGCAATGACAGGTATGTCGAGAAGTCAATGAACTAAATGCAAATGCTGATCATCTTGGTGTTGGTACTATTTCCTTCACAAAAAAGTCAGTAGATCCATAATAATAGATTAAATAAATTGAAAATTTGTTTATACCACTTGTAATGCTCCATTATAGTTCCCTGCCACTCCTGTTGATAGGACTTCTAGGGTCATTGCTCTTGATACAATACCACAGAAAATAGTTGACCATTGATTCTGAAACAAAAACTTTGATCAACATTATAGTTATTTGGAACTTAAAAAAATTCCGACTTCTAAGTGTCAGAAATCTTTAAATCATTGAATGGAGATTTAGAGAATATATAGAGATATAATCCATCCTAATTCTGTAGCCAAGTCCCAACGAGTCTACCGAAAATATCATAAATAGATACAGATCTAGGAAAACTTACAAAGTAGAAAAACCTACCGCGTCCATAAGAATCTCAACAAGATTAACATGATTCATGATAACAACTGCGGTTTCCCTTGAAGCTTCAGATCTCATTCCTAAAGGTTTTGGTCCAATTCCCCTAGTGAAAGTTCTCAAATATTCCTCTTCATTGAGAACCTCGGTATTGTTCTCTCCTTGAATCCACAAGGGTTCTCCAGCCTGAGCCATTCTCATTAGTTCCTCCATTGCTGCAACCGCGATTTCAACTATCATTGATTTGTCTGCCTCAGTAGGTCCAGTAACTGATCTAAGAAGATCAGTAGCTCCAAACATCTCCCCTACGAAACCCGACTGTGCCCCAAAATTGCTAACTCCGAGATCAAGAGACCGGGACGGTAAATGAGGAGAAAGGTTGGAAAGAGAAGACAAAGGCTTGCCAACATACTTGGCAGCAATTCCAGAAATCCTGTCAATCTGTAAGCACACAAAGGAATTTTATTAAAAACAATTTGAAGGATTACAAAATTTGAATTGATAAGAGTAACAGAAGGTGTAGTTTTTGTAACCTCTTCTCTTAGACGAACATTCTCAATCCTCAAATGCTGCTCATCAAAAGACATCTCACCAAGAGCTGCTGGACCACCACAGTTAGGGCATGAAGCATTACGTAGGGCTTCCTTGTACCTATTGTTCTCCGCACGAAGTCTTTCATTCTCAGCCTTAAGAATTGAATTCTCACTGCGTTCATGTTGAGCCTACACAATGGAAAGAAAGATTAGCAATATAAGCCGCTCTTTATTCTTAAACTAAAAAAACTTAATTTGCTAACAAAAAAAAAATAGAGTTTATTAATTTAGTCAAATATTTTTTCTTGCATATGAGCTTTAATTATTTGTAATTAGAAATATATCTCTATGCTAACTATCAATACTTATATGTCGTATATGAATATGAATATCTTTCCTTGTGTTTATCTTTATCGTATGTCGTAAGTATTACGACTCAAGTATCTTAGGATTTCTCGTGCTATGTAAGGGAAAAAATCTTTTTTTGGAAGGAAAAATAAAATATTTAATTTGTAACATTAATTATAAATATGGGAAGTTATATGCTTTCCTTATTACAATATCTATGAGATTGGAGAGAGTGTAGAGGGTGGTGCCTCAAATGTAGCGGATGAGTTACCTTCATTTGAGTGCGCTTGTTTTGGAACCAAAATTTGACTTGCAATGGCTCTAAACCTAGCTCACGGCTGAGCTCCTTCCGTTGCTTGTCGTCAGGATGAGGGCATTCCTTGAAGAAACTATGCAGACAAAGCTCATAAATAAATCACCAAAAATTTAAAACTAAAATAAATAAATAAAGCGCGGTCTATCTATCCATCATTAATGCACGGTCGATCTAAGTTAAGACGAAGACTGCTTACGCTTCCATGTCCTGGATTTGACGCTGTGTATGGCGATGATAACGCTTCTTTTTGGGGTGTTGTTCACTGGGATCTTGTTCATCACCGGACTGAGCTTCCATAGTTTCGGTGCCCGATTTGGTCTCATAGTCATCATCTTTGAGCTTGCTCGAGTCATTTTCAGAGCTTTTGGGAGCCATATCAAACATGTGATGGCCCTCAAACATATTTGCTTGGAACATTTGTATAAATCCCTTAAATTTTAAGCTAAGCTGTCCTTCCAATCTGCAAAAAAAAAAAAAAATCATAAATTAGCAAATAAAAAAAGAAGAATAATCCTAAGGTATGCCGTGTAAACATGCTAAAGGGGTGAGTAAATCATGTGTACAAGTAAAGAAAAGTATTAAAGGCTATATATGAGATGTTTGTAGATAAGAAATTAACATCTATATGGAAAGATTTATTGATAGGAAACATTGATGAATTATAAAAAAGAGTACAAGGATGAAAAAAAGCAAAACCAAGTTAAATTCCCAGCATAATAAATGTTGTTTGAAATTTGTAGGGCAAGGTGAAGTGTATTCCACACTGTCGTAGCTGTAGTTACAAGAGATGGCTAATCACCAGATAAGCAAGTTAACACCTTTTATCTCGCTCTCTTCTCTCTCTCTCTCTCTCTCTCTCTCTACTCAAAAAAACAAAAAAACGTTATGCGTTCATTCCAAGAAGGATGTTGCTTGGAAACGTTTTAATTACTTTGTTTAAGCATATTTAGTGAATAAAAACACCTTTTAAGAACCTCAACCAAAGTGAGAGGGACCTTACCTGATTGACTAACCTTAGAGGATGATTGAAATCTGACAACCTTTTTCTCCTTTAAACTCCATTGTAGAAGGCATATCTTACTCTCACCAACAAACCCTAAGCAGCATCCTTATCTTTCTCTCTTTCTATCTCTTGAGGGTATGGCATGATTGATTTTGCTGCTTACGTTGGCTGTATGGGGGGTTGGTTTGCGAAATAGATTCTCTCAAGCTGTTTGAGCAAAAGCAAAAAAGAAAAAAAAAACATTATTAAGAGAGGAGGATTGACTGTAGGGTGTTTGGGTCATAATATCAAAGAAAAGTCTCAAGTCCTTTCTAGTTTTACGTTCCAAAAGATTAGAATTATATAAAAAAATAAATGAGCATGAAGAGTTGACACTAAATGGACCCCTTTCTGAAGCTTTGACAAATAAATTTCAACACACCATTACCAAGACCATAATGCCCACTAAGATCTAGGTCAAACCATCGCCCTTGACATTTTGAATTCCTGCACAAAAAATTATAAAAAACAACATTTTTATGTTTAGGAAAAAGATTAGGACATGATATAAAACTGAAAATGAGAGAATCTTATTGTGAAGAGAAATGAAATGTTTTATAGACAAGGTGTGCAACTTACCAAAATATAGAAGCCTTTGAAGTTCCGTGGAAACAAGGATTAGATTTGTGATGGAAGAGGTTTTGGGTCTCTACAAAACCAGTTTTTCGGGCTAGAGAACTGGTTTACTGGCTGGTTTTTGAACAGAGACCCTATGTTCTGAAAAGGGTTTTAAGATGACTGTATGATTAAACTATGATGGGAGAAAAAAGGGCACACACAGAGAAAGAAACGGAAGAGGAAAAGGAGGAGACTAATTGTAAGGTTTTGAAGAAGCTGAGAAAGGAAAGAAGAAAGGGAACAGGTGGTGAGGATGTGGCAGCAGAGGAGTAATTGCAGAGCGTATAGAGATGGTTTGCTAGCATTTATGGTGGGAGAGAGGTGTAAATGCGAGAGAGTGAAAAAGAGATGAAAAGAAGCGATCATTATTTCATGTTTAAATTTCCTATAGAAGTATGGTGGTGTGAATTACAGCTTCTTGGATTCCAAATTTCCACCATTGTTGTTACTTCACCGGTGCAAAAATTTATGGATGTAGATGATCAATATTCGTGTATGAAATCATAATTTCCTCATGATTTTGTGGTCTTGATGCCTAGTTAGGAACAACATGATTTATGAAGAAAAAATGTGGCTAAATTATATATATATATATATATATATATATATATATATATATATATCATTTTTGACAATAATGTTTAAATAAAAACGTAATTAATGAGAATATATCTAGGAGTTTTTTGGTGTTAGAAATATGACATGTTATCTTACAAAATCATTATAATTTTCATGAGTTGTGAAATATATATCACATATAACACACAATAAATTAAATTCTACATGAACTCAAAATCATTGTAATAAATGCCTATCTAATAAGTGAAAATGATTATACACAGTTGATTATAATTGAAAGTCTTAACATATTGGTTAGTCAATCTTTTCTATATATATGTGTAGGACAGTATACAATAGCAATGATAGAGTTATACCATAAGAGTATGACTATAATATTTTTTATATAGTATATTTCCTAGATAGATACATTAATATGCTCCCTCAAGCTAAGGGTGGAGGATCAATTTGAAACTTGAACCAAAAAGCAGTAAACAGAGTAGTAGCAAGCGGCTTATTAAAAAAATCAGTAAGTTGATTGTGAGAGGGGATAAAATGAATCTGAATCTCTTTCTTTGCAACCCTGTCTCATACAAAATGATAGTTAACCTTAACATGTTTAGTACAAGCATGAAAGATAGGATTTGCAAATAAGTAAGTAGCGCCTAGATTATTACATCAAAGGGTTGGAGTAGAGTTAGAGAGAATCTGCAGACCTCGTAATAGATATTGAAGCCAAATAACCTCAGCAATTCCATTAGCCAAAGCTTTATACTCAACCTCGGTGGAGAAGCGAGCGACTGTGCGTTGCTTGCTAGATTTCAAGAGATAGGAGTCTGACCAAAGAAGATAAGATAACCACATGTGGACTTGTAATCATCAGTACTACTTGCCCAATCTGCATCGGTAAAGCCATGAAGAGTAAAGGAGGAATTATGAGTGATATGTAAACTATAGGTGGTTGTATTATGTAGATAACGCAGAATGCGTTTAACAGTACCCCAATAAGAATATGTAGGAGCATGCATAAACTAATAGACTCTGTTAACAGCAAAATAGATATCTGGTCCCATAAAGGTAAGATATTGAAATGCGTCCGTAATTTGACGCAACCTTGTAGGATAAGAAAATAGAGGATCTGACAGTATGGTGACTTTAGAGTTAGAGATAGGAGTATCGACCGGTTTGCAAGAAGTCATATCCGCCCGAGTGAGAATGTCAAGAATATATTTATGCTAATGTAACATCAGACCCATAGTAGTGGGTTGAACCTCAATTCCTAAAAAATAGTTAACAGCACCTAAGTTACGAAGCTTGAACTCTAAACACAATAACTGGATTAGGTGATAAAGTATAGCAGAGTTGCTACTTGTAAGAAAAATGTCATCAATATAAACCAAAAGATAGAAAATATCAACACTAATAGATAAGATAAATATGGAAGTGTCAACCTTGAAAGCAATAAAGCCAATAGAAATAAAAAAAAATCACTCAGATGAGTGTACCATGCTCGTGGAGCCTGTTTTAAGCCATATATAGATTTATGCAACCGGCACACATGAAAAGAAAAAGTAGAGTCAACAAAACCTAGAAGTTATTTCATGTAGACCTCTTCGACAAGAACATTATTGAGGAAGACATTATGAATATCAAGTTGATGAATCTTTCAATTACACGAAACCGCAATGGAGAACACTAATCTGACTGTTGCATGCTTAACAACTAGACTAAAGGTTTCAAAATAATCAATACATTACTATTGAGTAAAATCTCGAGACACCAAGCATGCCTTATACCGTTCAACACTACTATCCATATGATGTTTTATCCTGTATATCCACTATAACATTCATAGAATGATGAAAAGAAACCAAAGACCAGGTGTTATTAGAGTATAATGCCTGAATTTCATCAAGCATTACACCATGCCATACCTCATACATGTCATTATCAAATAAAGTAAGGGGCTCACAAGCAGGAGAAGACAGTACCTGGTAGTTGGGTGTAGCAGAGGTTGCGGCAGACGCTGCTAGAAAAGTAGTCTTTGGCAGCCGCATATGAAAAACCATTGAATGTTGATGAGCAGCAGACCGAGGGGTAGAAGGATCTAAATTAGGGAGCTGCTGAAGAGGATAAAAGGAGAGATTAACACAAAGTTGCAAACTTGAAGGAGAAATAGAGGAAAGATTGAAGCTCATAGTAGCAAAGGCAGGAGAGCTTGCTGCAGAATCAGATATGGCTATAGTAACATACATAGAAATATGCGACTCTAAAAGAGGTGAACCTGTTCCTATAAAATGATCATTAGAGAAACATGTAGATTGTGACATAGAGGTAGGGTTGGATGGTGGTGGTGGTATGGTGGTAGACGGAGATGGGGGATAGTGGGGCTATTTAGGTGATGCTGGAGCTTTGACAGAGATATTGGGTTAGACATTTTGTAGGTCAGCCGGGAGAAAATTACGGGGGGCGATAAAGGTAAGCAATTGTATAAGCTCTAAGAAAGTGGTTGGGGGTCGTGCTAACTGTTTAGAATCTGTAAAAGGAAACATATTTTCATGAAAATGAACATGATGGGATACATATATAAGTCGAGAAACGGAGTCAAAATAATGATAACTAAAATGTGAGGGACTATAGCCTAAGAACATTGATTAGTATTTAAAAGTGCATTTTTATCAAGGTTTTATATTATCATTTTATACTTGAAGTATCAATAACTCCTAAACTAAAGCTTGTTTTATAATAACATATCTAATAATATAAGATGCCTTTAATTTATGGTAAATGTTCATTTTAAATGCAGGCCTATCGCATAAATGAAAGGATTGATTGATGAGTTTAAGAATTGAAATTGAAAGGACACAGAGATGGCCAAACTTAGAAGAGCGATGCTGGTGCAGTTCAAGATCATGCTCTTGCTTTATCTTTTTATATTTTTATAATAATTAAGTTTTTCTTTCGTTAATATCTTGTTCATGCCTTTCATTTCCTTTCCTTTACTTAGTTAACTTTTATCTTATTTATGTTCTTATTTTGTTTATTTTTCTTTCTTTCTTTTATTATGTTTAGTTAAGTTTATTATGTCAAGGTGAAAATATTATACTAATGGTGTAAGAATAAGTATAGTGTAAACTTAACATGGACTTCATGTGTCTTTTTCAGTTTGGTCCTTAACTTTGGATTTCTTCAATTAAGTGCCTACTTACCCATCAAACTTCAATATTTATATAATTAAGCTCTTGATTTGATCAAATTAACTCTTAAAAATTGCAATTCAACCCTCAAACTTTAATTTCTTCCAATTAAACCCTTAAAAATAAATTTTTTCATATGAATAAACCCTTGATAAATTCAATTAGACCTTGAGAAATTTCAATTGAGTCTTTGAACATTCAATTTTGAATTTTCTTTCTCGAATTGAATTTTTCTTTGCTGATAAAGCCTCAATCAGTCAAAAATATACTGTTAAATTTTTTAATCTTGTATATTTTAATCTTTTTCAATGAAATTTTTATAATTTCTCGGGTGTTCTGGTATATTCTTCTTACTAATATATTTTTGTGGTTTTTTTCTAGCATTTTTTTTTTTGTGTTTTCTCTTTTCTCTTTTTTTTTTATGTGGGGCTCTGGATAACAACAATCTTTAACAAGTTGCAGATGGATTGTGATAGTATCTCTTCAATCTTGCATAGACTATCAATTTAGCTAAAGTGTAGTGAACCTAATTTTAGCTATACTGGTAACGATCTCATTTGCAGTGTATATGATATTTGAATATAAACAAATTGTGATTCCAATAATTTGGTTGTTTTTTTCCTATTATATTTCTTTTTATTTCCTCTTATATACAAACGTTTTATTTTCTTGTAAATGGTCATTCAACTTTTCAGGGCTCATCTTTTAAATTATTAATTTTTAACTTAATACACGTGATTATTATTAAAAAAAAGAAGAAGGACGAGACAAAATTAGAAGGACTTCGATGTCAATTTCCTTAATTATGTGCGAAATATATTACTGTATGATAATGGAAGCGGTAACACATGGTCATGGCTCCAAAGAGAGAATACATATACTTCATGGTCTGATTTTTAAGCCGTTGATCGCAATGATGTACTATATATAGTAGGCAACTCATGAACAATATGATGTCCTCTTCCTTTCTTTCTTTTTTTGTGAAGAAAGGACTTTGGTAAGGTTGCTCTTCAAATGAAGTTTTTCTTTTTTCATGGGAAGTATTCAAAAAATATATAACATTTAATGACAAGCACATAATTGAAAACTTATGCAAACACCAGTATTTATAATTAATTGAAGTAGCTTCGTCAGGTATTATTATTTAAATTATGACAAGGTACACTTTTTTTGGGTATAAATCCAATGTGTAGTCTTATAAGACTCTAAGTATATTTCTTTATCGGATCATTTAATTAAGCTAGAATTTTGCTAGGACATTTTAAACATATTAGTACTTTTAAAAATAAGAAGAAGACATCATCCATGTTCGGGAATACGACTAAAATCAACATATAAGTTACTAGTGATTTTTTTTAATTTTTATTATTGTATTTGAAATCTTTTTTTCTATTTAATTTACAACTTTCAATTTAATTAGGATTTTAGTAATAATATGGAACTCTATCCATATTATTGTTTTTGGTAATTTTCCAAAACAATATCAAATCATTGTTTTCAAGGTGCT